ATCCACGAGCTCCAATGCTTCCAGAGACTCCCGTGTTGTGTTCGAGTTTTCGCATCAACGATCACGGGCTCCCAGGCCGTTGGAGCCGCCGGTAACGAAAGCTACTTTGAGCGAATTGGATGTGAATAAGATTATCCATAACCCAAAGCTGAGGCACGATATAAATTTCGACCCAGATCTCCATTTCAGGCCAAATGTTGATGGGGAGAAAGGAAGGAGAAAGCAAGAGAAGGCCAACCAATTCTGGAACTCACTCACGGAGCAGTTACAATTATTTATCATTAACCGGGATGAATTTATGAGCAGATTCGGACAAGGTGAAGATTGGTGCCTCCCGCAGCTTCTAAAGTCGGTCAAGGAGATCATTCAGACGTTAGTTCCTCAGCGGGATCGCATGTACCTGGACGAGGGGCTGAACGTCGAGCTTATCATGCAACAGTTTGGTAAAGGAATAGCAGACTTGGAAAAGTTGGCCTCGTGGTTGTCTGGAGTTCTGAAATCCCATTGTGCCCCTATGAGGGACGAATGGGTGGATGAAATGTACAACCAGCTAACGAATGGCAACAAGACCAATGACATGGAGGAGCTTGTGCAAGGGATGCGCAGCCTCTTGAGCGTTCTCGAGGCCATGAAGCTCGATGTTGCGAATCACCAAATCAGATGCCTTCGGCCGATCCTGATTGAGGACACGGTGCATTTCGAGCAGCGGTTCTTTCTTAAGAAGATACGTGATCGCAAGATGGACCCTGGCCCAGCTCAGGCGTGGTACCTGACAGTGAATCAGTTTTATTCTCAAGACCCAGCTTCAGTCCAGGCTTTCGGGGAAATGGGTTCCTTCTTTGAGGCTCTATGCAAAATGATACTCCCGTCGACAGATCCGTATTCGCATCCGGATACCTTTGTTTTCGACGAGGAGCGCATGGCCAAACTCCGATCTGACATGCTCGACGCGATCAACCTAGAAGTCTGCATGCGCTTATACGAAGGGTTGGACAGAAAATACAGATTCAACGATACGATGTCTAGCGTGAACGCTATTCCCATGCCTTTGTTAGCTACGCCCTTTTCAGATGCCTCTGGTTTCCTAAGCTCGAGAACTGAGGATGACGGGAGCGAAAGCTGCTTCAATTCTAGGCCGTCTAGTCTAGTTTTCAGTTCCGCTGGATCGGCCCATTCGTCTCCTCGCAACTCATTTGTCCTGCCGGTTCAACCAGCTACCAGCCGCCCTGAAGACCAACAAGCCAAGTCGAGAAACCTCTACAACTCGCTTGTCGCGTTGCTTCAGACTTCCCCCGCCAGCTCCCGTTCCGTTTCACGATGGAAGGCGATGAAAGATTCGTTGGCTTTACAGATCTTCCGATTTACGAATGCGCCTGCTCAGGATCTTCTACAATTTGAGGACGAGCTAGATAACCATATTTCCGAGCTCTCGTCTCCGCTCTTCCAACAGGTGGAGCAGTACTATCACTATCACTTGCTTGTGGAACTTCGACAACGCGTCAAGGACTTTAAGGGACTCACAGGCGCAGCTCTATTCTCAGTCGCTACCGGCGGCCGTCTACATAGCCCCAGTCGCGGTTGGGATGGACCCCGCGAAAACATAAGCCGGGAACGTACGTCGCTAGAAAATGCCATCCGGGAAGCGCGGGAAGAGGGCGGTGTCGAAGATATGGCCACGCGGCTAGCCCACATGGGTCTCCTCCACTGGAGAGTCTGGTCGCATTTGGTTTATACAGGCGACCTTGAGAATCTCGTCCCGGTGCCTGATATGCCCATGGCAATTTAATTACCGATAGAGTACGCGGCGAGGACCGTCAGCTCAGTACCAAGTCTTCTATTCACACAGAAACACGCGCTTTACACCACTAGTCGTCTCGTCAGCTTCTTCTCCTTTACGATTACGTTTCGAGCGATATCTAAAACGAGCCGACACTTTAATACCCATTACACTCCGCTTAATCACCTCGCATTGGTCACTTATCACTTGGACGCTTTCTTCAATAATCCGGAACCGGCATTGTTTGGGTGTTTGTTTAGGAGTAACAGGTTTCTGATATGGTTTTCCTGGGGTTTTGTGACAAGGCATGGAAGAGGCATAGTCAGTTTTTAGATTTGCGACCCCCTTTCTCGCTTTACATTTTTATTTTGTCTGTTTTTTACTTGGTTGCACCGTCTCTTTGGCGAAAGGGCCCGCATTCAAAATAACATACCCGGTCTACATGTCACAGGCGTTTTGTGTGTTATTCCTCTTGTTGTTTTTTCTTGGTGGTGGTGGTGGCGGCGGCGGGAGGCGAGGCGAGGCGAGGCGAGAAATTGATTATATTTTTTGCATCATAGCTAAGAATACAGGATAGCTTCCTTAGGGGCTTGTGATTCTGAAGACAGCAAGGAAGCAAAGCAAGCTGCCTAGGTTAGGTAGCTAGCTAGCTGAGGTGGTAGTTTAGTTTATCATGCAAAAGAGGAAGATTTATTTTACGCCTCGGGGCGTGCGGGCGGCGGATGACGATGGTTTTCGCGATGATAATGGGACAGCCATAGTCTTACTAGGGAAAGATACAACCTCGCCGCAAGGTTTGGTCGCACGCAGATAGCATTTTTCGCCTTCTCGGCGTAGCGGGTCGCAGGCGACGGGATTATACACGTCGGCAAGAGATCCAGCACGTCTAATAGATTTTGCGCTATGGAATACATACACATATACACACATACATTCATACATGATTGTTGGTGCCAGATTCTTTACCGCCTCTCTCAAGTCCAGGGGTCCACTCCTTATAGACGTGGCAGTGATGAATCCTTCTATGTATGTGGTGCATGTATGTATGTACCTACGTATGAGTCTTTAATGTGGCATACGATACGTGGACGCGGGACTAAGGAAGCATGTCAAAAATTTTCAAAGAAGCAAAAATACATAGGGCAGGTAGGTATGTAGTAAGGTAGTAAGGTAGTAAGGTAGTAAGGGATTATTATTATTACCTGTCGTCTTCAGTTCAGCCGACGTAGACGGCTGATTATATTACCCAGCATGGAGGCGGATACATGTGACCTATCTGGATTTGGAATAATTAATTAATACACCTAGGTAGGTTAGGTACCCGCCCCCTTAAATTTTTTTTTTTTTAAGCCCGGCAGCCCGTCCGGAAAACAAACGTACTTGCCGAATCGGGTCGACGGACGCACTTTTCAGCCAACCAAATCTCGCGCGTTCCTGAAGATCATTTGTTCGGCCTTTTCTTTTTCCTTTCCCTTTCTTTTCTTTTTTTTTTTTTTTTTTTTTTTTTTTTTTTCGCTTGAGCCACACAAGCCCCGCCCCAACTTATTTAATTACATGGTGGATACATACGGGCCGGCGGATGGGGGGGATTTACGGACCGCGCAGCTGAAGGGCTAAAAATACTTTTTGACTTTGACTTGTGCAGCTAAGGCCAAGGCTAAGGAGCGCGAGGCGGGAGGAGGACAGACGGAGGCGCGCGCGCGCGCTTTTTTTTTTTTTTTGCGGATTTCCTTGGCCTCAGCTGAGAGGAGCGAGGAGCGGTGGTTGCATCGAGGATTCTTTGGGTGTTCGAATTGGGCTTATTAATATCGTGTTGTATTGTGTTGTGTTGTGTTGCATACGGTAGTTATATGTAGGTAGGTGGCTTACCTATGTGCAATACGTATACGCCCTCGCAACGGAAATGGATAATGGATAATGGAAGATGGAAGATGGAAGATGGAGGGAGGGTAATCCTGTGTCGCTGGAAAGTCAGAGATTTAGGGTGCTTATGTTTGTTCGCCTGGCTTGCGTGGTTGGAGACGGTAGATCCGATCGCGACGACGGGCTTACGTTGGGAGGTAGGTAACATGTATAGATGTATATTGTAGGTAGTTATATAGAAAAAAGAAATAGGGGTTTAATAATAAAATACTTGGTATAAGATATAAGATATAAGATATAAGATACATTTGTGTGTAGTTATAGACTTATAGTATATACTACTAAGCTTATAGCGGCCGCGTTAGCCATGCGAGCTTCGCCAATGGGTAGTCAAGAATATGTATATGCGTAGGTATATTTAGGCATGTAAACATATGGCGTTGTATACCAATGTTAGACAGACCTGCAACGCATAAAGGTGGCTTGCGCGACGGCGGTTAGCATGTAACATGCTTGCTTCATCATCTGTTTACTTCCGTGTCTTAGGTATCCTTATATGCAGCCCGAACCGGCTTACCGCTCTTCTCATCGCATCCTTTGCTTTTGTCTGGCATGTGGCGAGGAGTTGCGTGTATATTCACCGAGTCATGGTATCTGGGGATATGTATGGAGGAGAATCAAGAAAAGATCCTGGCCGAGATACTAGGTCTGTTTAAGCCTGGTTGACAGGTAGTTAGCTAGGTAGTCAGCTGCTGAATTGAAGACCGAGCAGTCAGCTGGGCTAAACTCGGGCTATAAATCAGATTTGGGATATCTAGATGGGTGTTTGTACCGAACGAAAGACATCCCTTATTCCGGGCTTGCTGAGAAAATATAATGTCCCAACAAGATAATAACAAGCATAGAAGGCCCGAGCACAAAGGGTCAAGGGCTTAATGTTTGTCTCAATATAATCCAAACGCCAATCCCAATATACACCGAACATTGTGCAACACCACCGCCGCCACTTACAGCGTGTCACGGAGGTCGTGGTATAGATACTTTGGATCTATATCGCTAACCACGACTAACCGCCACACGGGCTTCGACTTCACGTGTGCACATCTATCTATTACCTATATTTCTTACATACATTACATAGTTACATTTACATGTATACCCCTGAACTATGTATTGTACGTCAGGTATCCAAGGTACCCAAGGTAGGCAGGCAGGTAAGTACCTGTTATGAAAACACCAACACCCTCACCGGCAGATATCAAACCTCGCCACGCTCGGATCATGATCCGACGTCCTCTCCGCGTACGGCACCCAAGTGTTGGCGTGCACGTGCTCGAAGCGCGTGCTCCCCCCCGCCGCCCCCGCCCCCGCCGCCAGCGCCGGGCTGACGAAGACGTGGTCCAGCTCCTGCGAGTTCATGTCGAACAGGTACGTGTACCGCTCCGCGGGCGGGACGCCCGCCGCATCGTCGAGGTCTGCCAGGCCCGACCGGGTCGCGAACGCGGCGACGGGGGATGCGAAGGCGAACTCGTTGAAGTCGCCGAGCGTTACTATGGCTGCGGAGGGGTCTTGGGCGAGGATGGCTGCGATGAAGGACTGTGTAGGGGTTGGTTGGTTGGTGTTAGTGGTGGAGTTTCTTCTTCTTTTTGGATGGATGGGTTTTTGGATGGATGGGTAGGTAGGTAGGTAGATATTATGGATAGGGGGTTCGCAAAACTCACAGCAGTAGCTTCGGCCTGCGCCAACCTGTCCTCCACGCCCCCGTTGACAGGCGGTCGGGCGTCGCCGTGGAGCGAGGAGCTGCCGCCCTTGGAGCCCCAGTGCACGTTCACCGTGAATAGCGTCTTGCTTGCGCTGCTGTTGCTGCTGCTGCTACCCACGAGCTCCCATGCCGCTGCTAGAGGCTTCCGGCTGTTGGTCCAGGCCGCGTTCGACGGGTCGATGTAGCCTGGGTTGAACTTGAGTTCGGGGCCGGGCAGCACCTCGTTGGCCGTGGTGGCGTTGCCTGGGCTCGGGTTCCGGAGCCGCAGGCGGTCTGCTCGGTACAGGTATGCGACGCGGATGTTTCCGCCGGGAGCGCCGCCGGATCTGTTGTTTAGCGGGCTGATGTAGGTGTATTTGTAAGTGACGTTGGTGGTGCTAAGGGCCTGGATAGCTGTCGCCAGTGCCGTGAGGGTTTCGTCAGAGCTCACGGTGCCGTCGTCTGTCTCGCCGCTGTCGTCTTGGATCTCCTGGACCGCTAGTAGATCCGGCGTGCGCATGGATTGAACAATGTGCTTCGCAACAGCTTGGACGTGTGCGGCGTCGCCAGCGTAGAAGTTCTCGATGTTGTAGCCGCCTACGGTGATGCCCTTGCACGTCCCTTCGCTCACTATTGAAGTTGGGGGGGCTACTTCAGGGGCGAGAGACTCGACGACGCTTATGTTTGTTAGTGGTAGGATACGATAAAACCCGAAAGCTTGGTAGACGACGCCGGTAATGGTTTGGAGTTTGTCGCCTAGCTTTGTGTCCGTCGGGTTCTTAGATCCGTCAAGCGGACTGCCGATGATAATAGCCTCTGGATTACCGTCCGCAGCAGAGACGGTAAGACCCGTACGGCCATTATCGCCCGTTGTATCCCAGTTTCCAACAACCCATATATCACCATACTGATTAGGCCGTCCAACTGCACGCGGGCTCTCGATAGTAACCAGCTCACCCATCATACTCTCCCAGAAGTCCAAGCCGTACGACTCCGGCTCCAGTAGGGGGTTCTCGACGGAGATCAAGCTCTGGTTATTCGGCACGGCAAACACATCGCCCTTGTCGAGGCCGGAATACTGTTTCGTCGGCGGACTGGGCGCCCCCTTGCCAATCACGATCGGCTCAACTTTCCTGCCCCGTTCTAGGATAGCTCCGACCTTTGGTGATGCAAGCTCCGTCATGTACAAGTAGTCCTTGTTAGAGCGGTACTCGCTGACCTTCCCGTCGACGACCAGGACATCGCCAACAGTAATGCTGGTGTTCTTGGCGAGCGCCGAGCCGTATACGTACAAGCCATCTGAGATGCGCCTATTGAAACTTGACTCGATGGATCGTAGCCAGATTCCGTCAGGACCCTTCGCCGTTACGGTTCCCGTGACGTTAGTGACGTTGTGGCCGTTGAACGGCGATAAGAAGCGATCACCGTTGATCTGAGCGATCGACTGCCCAGAAACGCCAGTGACTGCAAATAGGGAGGCCGCGAGCCACCCGAGGAGCGTAGTGGTGGTCTTCATTGTGATAGGAGCCCTCCTGGCAACTTCAGTGTACTTGAGACCGAAATACACCACGGCTCTGGGCCTTCGTTAGAATAGAGAGGGGAGCATTGTCACATTATATACTTTCGTTCGTACGCATCAACACGCGGATATGAAAAGTGGACGCCTATCCCGAATCCAGCTATACCGAGCTGCAGGAACGCGGAATCTAGATCTAAACATCACAAGCATAAGAGCAGCCCCATCGCAAGACCTTCCCATTGGTCTCATGGGCGCCGAGCTGATATGGGGGAGATAACCAGTCGTGTCGACCAATCCAGTCCACGTTGCACGCCTACGGCCTTGGCGATTTCCAGAAACCGAAGGTGGATGATACCTTGCGGTTCGGCCGTTGGCCTTGGCATCGGTGATCCAATCTATTGGTACTCTTCGTGATATACGTCAAAGGGGTAGGTAATAGGAACTTCGCTGCAATTTAAAAGACTTGGACTAACGGAAAAGCAAACGCAAAGATATCATGCAAGATTGATTACCTAGGTAGGTAGACGTGCTTGCGATAGAAATCGTATTCTCATTCTCATCTTCGAATTCAAACGATTCAACTTGCTCGCTCAAGACGAACATCCAAAATCAAAGCAGCCAGGTTGTGTAAGGTAGGTACCCAAGCCGAGTAGTACATGGAATATAATCCAAGAGTCCCCTGAACCGCCTTCCCAATGCATACCTAGGTAGTATCTAAATGAATAGCCAAACCGTCGGCAATTTTTATACAAGAACGGGAAATACAAAATCATGCCCTTGACGGCTATAGGCGGCATCCACTAGCCAAAAAGGATACATGAGGGTATAATAATATTCGACAACAGAAAATAAAAGGTTGGACTATCGCTCTAATCGAGGACTCAGTGGACTCTTACCGGGTCCTTGTGCCCTCTTCAACGCTTTTAGCTCATCCTCGAGCTTCCTCCGTACCATTTGTTCCGACTGTAAAATGTTAGTTAAATGAGACTATGGTAGAAAATATGGTTCTCGGGAAACATACCCTTAATTGCTCCTCGTACTTCTTCCTCTCGGCTCTCAGTCCCGACCTGTAGGAGTCGGTCAGGTACGAAGTCTTCGTACCGCCAGGCGATAGTGGTCCTAGACGCGCTGATCCTAGTCGCTCTTTGTCGAGCTCTTCCTGTAGTTGTTCCTTCTCCTTGCGTAGTCTCGTAATCTCGCGATCCAGTCTCTCCTCGATATCACTGGTAGCTTCATGGAGCCGCTTCTCGAGCTCGTCATTCATCATATCCTTCTCATCCTTAATCTTGGAACGCTCAGCTTTCACCCGGTCAAGCTCATTCTCCAGTTCGCCGATCTTCTTCTCGCTCTCGAGCGACTGCTTGACAACATCGGTCAAGTCTTGGGCCGTGGCTTTCAGCTCCTTCTCTAGTATTTCAACTCTATTGTGCATTTTAGTCGATTCGTTGTTGTTATGCAGAGCCGCAACCTCCGCAGCCCTCTCTTTTCTAGAACCGTAGGCGCCGTCGAGTTCGGCCTTAGCAAGAGTAGCTTCCATCTTAAGTTCGGCAACCATGCCTGTCATCTGTTGAAGCTCCTCGTCCTTGGTCTTGAGATCCCTCTCCTTCTCCTCAATAGCCTTGTCGGCAGCCTCCTTAGCATCATTGGCCTCTTGTAATTGTGTCGTGATAGCTGCAACATTAGCCTCTGCTGTTGCTAGACGCGTCTGGACTTCTTTAACGCTTCCTTCCAGCGATGCAATCTTGGCATTCCGCTCCTTAAGCTGCTCTCGCGCCTCGTCAATGGCAGTGGATTCTTCTGTCCGGCCCCTCTGTAATTCTTCAAGGTCCTGCAAGGCTTGGGAAAGTTGCGAGCGGGTATTGTCTGTTTCCTTCTCTGCCTGGTGAAGTAATTCTTTGGCCTGCTCTACTTCATCGATTTTGTCCCTTAATGCTTGATCCTTCTCGGAGTCAGACCTGCTGTTGAGCTCGCGCTGCTGCTTAATTTGACGTTTCAGAACGCCCTTTTGCTCATGTAGTTTGGTAGCTTGTCTGTACAGCCACTGAATCTTGACTGAGAAAGCTGACAATGAATATTGCTCGTCAAAATCGATAGATTCACCGTCCGACATATCATCCTCGTCTGGTTCCAGTCCCTTATCTTGGCGAGCCTTTCGTCGTTCCTGCTTCCGTTTTCGTAAATCGGCGTACCCTGATTGGATGATGTCCCAGAGTCCCATGAGAACTGTTTCATATTGCTCGCCCTCGCCTCTGGCGGCAGAGTCTGTACCGGTTGCGTCCGCAGCTCGCCGCAGCTCATCCTCGATAGTCGGTAACGAGTCCCGCAGGTACCTGAGCTGCTCATCAACGCCTAATTCTGCGTTCGGTGGCGGCGGATGGGTTGTATTGGCTCCCAAGAGTATGTTTTGGACTTCAGCGTTGAGCGCCCGTATCCTCTCTGCCAATTCAAGGCTATTGCCTCGGTCTTCAGCAATGGCAATTAGTCCATTTTCGAGGTAATCTAGATGGCTACCGATCATGTCACCAGGCTCTAGTCGGCCTGATGGGATAGCACCGTAAGTATCGCTCTTGGCTGGATCTGTGCTGATAACTATTTCGCGCAGCCGGTAATTGAGCTGCTCTAATTTGCCTTCCGTATCTGAAATTAGGCTCCATGGGTCTGAACCCTGACCTCTAAGCTCGTTGATTTGTGCCTGTAGCTCACGATTTTCCTCACGTAGTCTCTCGGTCTCTTCTGTCAGCTGCTTATTTTGTCCCCGAACAGGCGACTTTAAGGGGATTTCAATAGCGTTCTGCCGGCTTCGATCATCGGGTCGGTCGGATGAGTCAAAGGATCGATACAAGCTTGCTTCGTCAAAGATAAATCCGTCTTCTAAGAAATCCATGCTGAAACTGTCACGGCCATTCATCGTAGTATACATGCTCTCGGGACTAGCGGGAACGCCGTTAAGAAGGGGAACCCTCGGGGATGGTGTTTTGTTTGCTTTGTGCGTGAGCTGAAGAATACCAGCAGTATGTTCTAACAGTCGCCTTTGGGGTTCCATGGTGCGCTTCTCCAATGACCACAGTTCGGATGCTAGGTCTTCGCACTTCTTCTGGATCGTGCTGAGTTCTTGTTCGGCCTCCCGTGCGGCATCAGATCCACTGTGTCGATGACCTAGAAGACTCCTTCTCTTGAAATCGACTTTGGTTGGGGAATATAGTTTAGACATTGATATAGCAGCATCGCGATATTTGGATTGGATGGCAAGGTTTGACCTCGTCTGCTCGATTCGTTGATTCAAGATCTGGCATTGTTTCTTGAGGTCGTCGACTTCCTCCTGAGATAAAATCTCATACTCTCTGCTGTCGAGCAAGGCGGTTTCGGTGAGTAAATGTACTTGGACAGGATCTTTCAGGTCCACCAGCACCGAGCTTTGAACGCGCCCCGGATTCATCTAGTTTGATTGTGAGCACACAACGAGGTGGATACGATACGATGTCCCTCGAGATGGGAGGGAGTTAGAATAGCTACTTACTGGATTAAATCGCGGCTTGTCTCTTTCGAAGTCGTTGAGGCTGTCTTGTCGATAGGAATCAACCAGTGCTGGACCCCTCGGCGCAATCGTAGGGCGCAGCGGTGGCGGACCTCCGTCAAAGCCATCATACCCACGGTTCGCAAACCCGTTCATTCTTGTCACTTTCGAGTAGAAAGGTGGGTTGTCAAATGCATTATAGTACGGAGAGAATCGCGTAAGAGTCGGTTACTCGTAATTTATTATAGTTAGATGGTTTGAATCGGTTATATTAGTAGTTGGCGCAAGTTTTAGTCGCCAGTCAGTCGAAAAAGACACAGACACCAAGATGAATTAATAAAAATAAGAAGGCCAATTCAAAAAGAAACCCTAGTGGAGAAACAATCCGCAAGAATGATTCACTGGAGCAATGGCGCAAGATATGTTATAAGCAAGTCAGAGTCCAAAATGCGATGGTCGGTCGGGTCACCTGGTAATGAGATGGAAAAGGAGTTTTTGTCGATTAAGGATCTACGATGTATTCCAGTATGTATATACATTCTGTACCTGGGCTACCTTTTTGACTGCAGGTGTCTGCCCGATAACCTAAATTTAATTTGATTAGTGGCGCACTCTGCATACCTACCTACTTAGTACACGCGCTCCACGCTGGGGCGGCAACGCTAATCTGCGTTGAGTAATTAAGCGAAGCGCTCGTTGCTGTGGCTGGGCCAGAATACCTAGGTATAAATGTATTCGGCATAAACATGATTTAAATATTGCACAATTCTTTAGTTTTTTCTCTACTATCCCTTCACTTACACATTTATCTCCCTTTCTATCTCGTGTCCGAATGTTGGTATTTATAAGGTAACTAAGTATTAATTCTTATCATTTAGGTATTGCGTATGTACGGATCCGTAGAGATCCGTATAGATCCGTACTATTAAATTCACCAACATTAGCTTGGATGTAGTGTATCCAGCCAACTGACTATACCCCTGCAACGCGCACTTATCACATATTAGAGACCCGATATGATTGCGTAGTCTTATTAGGGTCTGACACATCTACGGATCGCAACTATATCTATGCTTTACTTTAGCGCGTTAAAATGTATAGAAATGTATCAAAATCGTAATTTCGCTTTGCGCAATGTTGATCGACCGTCATAATTATCCCGGCTCGGACCGGTGACAAGGGTGGATAGGTAGGTCCTTTACTTTTAATTTTCTTTATACTTCAGCGTGATACGGCTTTATTCATTGGTATCGCGCGAGATTACATAGTAACCTAGATACATAATTATTTTTACGCCACTTCCATCTCATACATACCTGTTAGACCCTAGCCGGGCTATGCTGGCCAGCAATGTCTTTGCTGCATACGTGGATGGCTGCTGCAATGCCATAATTTTCTAAATATGGCATTGGATGTTGGGCTCGCTCTTTGTAGGAGCTTCTAAATAAACCACGGGTCCCGAAAATAGGGAGCCGTCGTGGCCGGTAGCGTGTAAGGCATGGTAGTTGATTTGATCGGACACGGGTGCATTTTATCTATAGGCCATACGCCAACAAGATCTCCTATACGCCGTACTTGTGTAAGTATGCTATTTTAGGTATTCAATGCTGCGAATGACCTCTGGGGGCCGAACACGTTGGACCCCAAACCAACAATGGGGTAAAAGTTGAAGTCTTTGTTTATTTGCTTGTTAATGGGTCTAAAATGCGCCTTGGAATTGGTCTATAACTTGTTGACCCATGGTCCTGCGTCTTCCGCCGTCGGCGTTCGCTTGGCCCTGCGCGCCGCTTGTCGCGGCTGTAGATCCGTTTTCACCCTCGAGTCTCCTGCGCAACCCTTCGAACTCCTGACTCCTTCTCTGTGTTCGCATCCCTACGACCCAGCCGGGTAATCGCCATCGTATTAGTGATCGTGGTAAAACTTCCATTCTCCATGAGAGGCCCAACATCCATCCAACCAACGCACCGAGGAGAGATCCAGGCCACTGAAAGAGAGCTAGTTGAAATGCAAGGAGGTATCGATATGACTTGTCAGAGAACGTAATGCCTTGTGTCTGATCGTCTGTTGAAGTAGATGCTGATGTTACTATCTTATATTTATAGATCGGCGGGATCATAGCATGGTACTGGGCTAAGATCGCAAAGATTATAGGTGTAGGCCCGGCAGGGAGGTAGTTGAAGAGCCCTAGCGTAAGTGGTCTTAGAAAGAGAGCCAAAATTGCGGGGGTCAACCAGCTCGTGAATAACGATGTGACGAAAATAAATGTCTATAGTATACTTGTCGTTAGCTAGATACCCAACACCAACACGGCAATAAGGAATTGAACTTACAGCAAATTTCCTGGACCCCCACATCCTCTCAACTGCTCTCATGTTGTATAGAGTCATTGCAGCAAATAGGACCTCGGTCGAATTGGTGTAGCAGAGCTGATAAATGAGAGCCCTCCATAGCTGGTGAAACTGCCAGAGATGCAAGTCGACTAGGATATAGAAGTAGTGCTTGATATCAAGTAGGCTGACGCCTATTGATATCCCAATAAGTCCGTAGACAAGACTGCGCGTCACCGGCGCATTCGTAAAGGACATGATGTCAACTCGAGGTCCCGCGACAGCTATCGGCGCATCGTAGATCGTTCGTCAATGGGTTAATGAGGTAGCATTTAGGTAGTTTGGATAGATGTTATTGATCCTGTTGTACACGATCCAAATTAGGTATTGTATATGTATAAGCACGTAGATGCAGAAAACGATGTCATTGAACCATTAACCTCTTTCTTAGAATTGGACATGTGTACTAGATTATCTATCTAAGGTACCTGCGTACCTATCTTAAATAATCCTAGTCGGACATCTTTAAGTACATATATCCGCCTATGAGGTAAATGACAGGGTAGCTGAAATTCAATTCCATCTAAGCTTATCGATAGGCATCGGAGCTCTTGCTAAGCCTCAATGTTGTCAATCATATGAACATTCCACCTACATACATAGTAGCACTTACGATTCTAATTCATAACAGCTCATAGCCACCATTGTCGTCATCATCCTATAATGCAAAATACATAGCTCTCCTTGAATCATTTTCTACCTTTGTTTATTCGCTATCAATTCAACCATGTCCGACCTCTACCTCTCGCATGTTAGGAACTGGATTCTGAAGTCTCCGCCGGCAGAATGGGTTATTAAAAGTGGCCGAGAGCTGCTTATAGGCACGTTGAAGCAGGGTCCTATACCACAGCATGTCGCCTTCGAGATGGACGGAAATAGGCGCTTCGCCAAGAACCACAAGATCGAAACTATAGAAGGCCATCACTTAGGATTTGAGGCCCTAGCGAGGGTGCTCGAGATTTGCTACAAGTGTGGCGTCAAAGTGGTTACCGTATATGCATTCAGTATCGAAAACTTCAATCGACCTAGGCACGAGGTTAGTGGCCTGATGGCAATGGCTAAAGTTAAGCTGGAACAGCTTGTTCAGCACGGCGAGCTTCTCGACCGGTATGGTGCTGGTATCCGGGTATTAGGAGAGCGTGATTTAATCCCGGACGATGTGTTGCCCTACGTCGACCGAGCCATTGAGATGACAAAACATAATAAAGAGTAAGTAGCTCCCAACAGCAATTCTCGGCGAGGCTGTTGCTAACGATATATACTAGTGCCGTGCTCAACATATGTTTCCCTTACACCTCAAGGGCCGAAATGACCAGTGCGATAAAAGCTACGGTGGATGAATACACAACATCACCCCGATCAACGAACACACCATTCTCACAGTCACGAATCACACAGAAGATAAGATCCAACAAGTCGAAAAGGTCGGACTCTTCTTCCCCTATGGACTCGTCCCTAGATGAAAACGGCGTATCAGACGTTGATGATTCCATGTCTTCGACTACCGCATTAGATCCGGATTCGCCTCCTCTACAGTCAACACCAGTGAAGCCAACCAGGTTCAAGAACCCGGAAAGTATCACAACCGAGACTATCAATAGCCACACGTATACTGCCGAGTGCCCACCCTTGGACATGTTCATCCGTACTAGTGGTGTTACGAGATTGAGCGATTTTATGTTATGGCAATGTCATGAGAATACCCAGATATTCTTTCTGAAGTGTCTGTGGCCCGAGTTCGATCTATGGCACTTCATTCCCATACTTCTAGAATGGCAATGGCGACAAAAGAAGCTAATAGAGAAAGAGGGATCGCGGAAATGAGTAGACGAACGAAGCAGCATACCCTTTGTATTGGCGTTAAGGCGTACTCGTTCAATATTATTTTGTTAGAGCCGGCGATGTACACTTGCTAGGGGCTGAATTCGAGTGATGTGGGATAAATAATATACTGTAGAAAACAGTCTTGCCGCGCAATGATTGTAAATATTGTTTAAAGTATACTTGGGTAACTACCTATCTAGTTACATGTAACTATAGTTATACTATTATAACTAGTTAGACCGGTACTATATTTAACACAGCACAATGGCCGAGATTAGAAATGGAATATATTCTTATTTTTGTTTTATAGTAAGTTTTAGTTTACAGATCTCATAAATATACTGTTATACCAGCTCTGTCTAGCAAAAGATTATATGAATGCGCATCAATGTAATTGCACGGTAAAACGCGGGTTAGGCAACGTGCTCGCGAACGTGTGTACCGAGGCTTGTATGTAGGGACTGCAGACCAAGAGCGGAGCCTAAGTCTTGGCTGTTGAAGTCATTGCTTTTCTTATCTTATCAACCAGCGTGCGGATTAATTATCGGATCAACGGTCGCTTGTTTTTCTGTGCTGTCTGCCAATTGAAATGCCGCTTCCGTGTGTAGCACAGACATGTACAAGCCCACATTATACCAGAAGGGTTGCCCGCCGATAGAAACCCGCGCGCAAATGGGGACTTAGCAACTGGGCTCAGCGGTGCAGAGTGCTATAGGTATACCTACTTTCTAGGCCGACTCAATTAATAAATCTCATCCATCCGGTTGTCCACCTCATCTTTGCAGTTTTGCGCCTCCCCCCTTCTATGAAGCTCTACTCATATTCCCCTTCATACTACTTCTACTAGTATCATTCTATTTTTATACTCAAAATGACATAAACTTCATTTATTGAAGCTTGTCGACTCAGTTTCTTCGCAAAGCCTCCGAACCTCTCGAACAAGAAATCTACTTCCCGTTTTCTCGCGTCTCCTATCTCGACTAGACCTACCATTTAAACCCGCCTGAGATCCCAAGATGAAGACCGCGAAGCTGCCTCAGGCGGACGCTGGTCCCTCTTCGAA